TTGAAGATACCTTTTCAGCTTATACACAACGGTCTCAATTTAGCAAAGAGCAGTTCTTCCATAGGTGGTTATTGTGAACGTGGGTAGTTATAGAAACCCATCAAGTAATCGTGGTAGGGCGCACTTTGGGTTATAGTATTTTGGCCGACTTCCCTTCCGGGTAAAACCCCATCCGGGTTCTATCAACTCTTCTCCTTGACAATTGATACCCGGATGTATAAACCCGGAACATTAAGCCCCCAAGCTCGGAGTGCAATGTCTATCAGCATCCTCATTAAATGCTTCCTACTCAATCCTAATCTTGATTGCCATTTGTCACTTTCTTGTTGCCTTGATTTTCCAAACGGCTGCCCATCTGAAACGTCATATCCTGACAGCCATTATTGTCCTTCGAGATTCGAAAATCCCGTTACTTTTTCGCTTCTCTTTATTACTACCTACTTTGATTTTCCCATTCACCCCTTTCCTTTTTCTCCTTAAAACCCCCACCTTCTTTTCCATCATCTTCTTCTTCATCTCCTTCTCTTTTAAGTTTTCTGGTCTTTTCTTCTTTCTATGCTTTCTTGAAATCCTTTGTGCAAACTTGGTGTTACGTTGTTGCATTTAGTTGCTGTTCTTCATCAAACTACTCTGCTGCATTTGGTTGTTGTTCGTTATCAGACTATACCAGTAAGTACTTTCATCTTTACATTTGCTTTCGTTTCTTCTCTTTCGTTTCTTCTTTCTTGTTTAATTTTAACCTTTACTCTAAGAACTATTACCTGCATCTTTGAACATGCTCTCGAAAGACTCATATTTTATCTTGATAAGAACCTTCCTTGTATTTATTCCTTCATCTTCTTTAAGACTTCTTTTCCGGCTTTATGCTTTCTGGACGGACTAGGAATACCCTTATAACCACTGATAACCACCATTTTCTTCAGTTGAACTTTTTAACTTGTAATATGTCTTCTAAACTAGGTTTTACTGGTACCTTTCCGTCCAGGCCATGCCGCCGAGGAATCGTCCCTACCGTTCGCTTCCACTTTCTCGCTTCGCTCTTCCCTCTATTGTGGAAGGTCTAGCATGGGTTGATGAAGAAGCTCTAGGCCTTCATTTTTCGTATGAGAATAATTCGAGTAATCTTCATGCTGCCTTACAGTCCATCCCTCTATTCTGTGACTCCATTATTACTTCATTTCGAGTTGCTGCACCCGGAGAAGAGGAACGTATATGTTCACCTTCCGGGCAAGGTGAGAATTCTTTCTTTTTTGCCTATAAATGCTTATTTTCCGAGCTCAAGGTATCCTTACCTTTCACTGAATTTCAAATGGACGTCTTAAACCATCTTGAAATCGCCCCTTCTCAACTTCATCCAAACAGCTGGTGTTTTTTACAAACTTTTGAGATAATCTGTAGATCTTTTGGGTTCATGTACTCTTTTCGGATTTTCTTTTGTCTATTCGCCGTATTCCGCAATGTTATCGATAGAGGAAGTACTCGTCATAGTTGGGTTTCCTTAAAAGCTCGCCCTAGATTTCGCTAGTGTACTTACAAAGACAATTGGAAGAACTTCAAGGAAGATTATTTCAAGATTTGTATACCTGAAGCTCTTCCGGCTACACCATCTGCTTCTTCTTCTTCTTCTCAATCTGCCACTCCTTCTACTTTCTTTCTGGATCAGGACGAAGCTCCTCGATTCCCTCTCAGTTGGAACCAACATCATTATAGTACACCTGCTAAAGCATTTTTAACTAACTCAAAGAATTTGTTAGCAGAAATAAAGGTGGGGATTTACAAAAAGGATTGATTTATAATTTAATTTTTTTTCCTTCTTCTGAGTACTGACGAACTTGAAACTTTTACTTGGTTTCAAAAGCTGACTTCCGAGTTAGCAAAAGAAAATATTTCTTTCACTCCTCAGTCTTTTTTAACAAATAAAGATTCTCCTGCTTGGATTTGTGATAATCAATCAATTCCATTAAATTGATATATATCTAAGAAGGACCACTGTCTATAAGTTCAATGGAGCATGTAATCTTGTGACTAGACCTTAAGATGAATTGGTTGTATGAAAATGGTAACTACTTCCAGTTTGTTTCTTGGTCTAAATTCCTTTTAGTCATTCAATCAAACACCTTATATGCTAATACTTTCGAGTATCTATGCTTATCAATGGTTGAGTGTTTGCATCACATAACAGAGAAACATATAGAAATTCATCAAGAACGCCTTATGCATATATCATACACAACGATTAATTAAATAAGACTTGCGTACCTGTGTATGCTTTATTCCTGCACATTCATCTCAAGAATTGATCATCCACCTCAATATTTTTATTTTCATCTCAACATAAGACTAAATGTTAAACTTACCTAAACTAACAACTAAACTAGAAATTAAAATTCTGAATTTAAACTACTGAATGCTTAAATACTGGGTTGCCTCCCATAAGCGCTTGTTTTACGTCACGAGCTTGACGTACCTCCTTTACGTTTCTGCAAGAGCAACGGTAGCCGTTCCTCTGTCAATTTCTCCTCCAAGGTATGGTTTCAATCGTTGTCCATTCACCTTGAAGCTTCTGTCAGAATCCAGTGGACTGATTTCCACTGTACCATAAGGACGTATTTCTTTCACCAGAAACGGTCCTGACCATCTAGACTTGAGCTTTCCCGGAAAGAGTCTCAACCGTGAATTAAACAGCAGAACTTGTTGTCCAACCTTGAAGTCTCTGCCCAATATTTTTCTGTCATGCCACTTCTTGGTTTTCTCTTTGTAGAGGCTGGCACTTTCATACGCTGATAATCTGAATTCGTCTAACTCATCCAGTTGTAACAACCTCTTTTCACTTGCCGCTTTTGTATCAAAGTTTAAGAACTTGACAGCCCACAAAGCCTTGTGTTCCATCTCTACCGGCAAGTGACAAGCTTTCCCGAACAACATTTGAAACGGAGACATGCCAATGGGTGTCTTGAAAGCGGTCCGGTATGCCCATAGTGCATCATCTAGCTTGCGGGCCCAATCTTTCCGGGAGCTTCCTACTGTTTTCTCAAGGATACGCTTTAGTTCCCGGTTTGATATTTCCACTTGCCCACTGGTTTGTGGATGATATGGTGTGGCAATGCGGTGTCTGACGCTGTATTTTGCGAGCACATATTCAACTTGTCTGTTGCAGAAATGTGTGCCTCCGTCACTGATCATTGCTCTTGGTACTCCATACCTCACAAAGATGTTTTTCTTGATGAAGTTGATCACGACTCTAGAATCATTGGTAGGCAAGGCAACTGCTTCCACCCATTTAGAGACGTAATCCACCGCCACCAATATATATTTATTCCCGTATGAAGTGGGGAAAGGCCCCATGAAGTCAATGCCCCAAACGTCGAAGATTTCAACTTCCATGATGTTGTTTAGTGGCATTTCATGTCTTTTTGATATGTTCCCCGTTCTTTGGCAACGATCACAAGATTCCACGAATTTTCTGGCATCTTTATATAGAGTGGGCCAATAGAATCCGCTCATAAGAACTTTTGCAGCCGTCCTTTCTCCCGCGAAGTGGCCTCCGTATTCTGAACCGTGACAGTGCCATAGAACATCTTTCATCTCTTCTTCAGGGATGCATCTTCTAATGACTCCGTCAGAACATGTGTAGAATAGGAATGGTTCATCCCACAAGTATCTTTTCACATCGCGGAGAAACTTTTTCCGTTGTTGCCATGAAAAATCTTTAGGAATTGTCCCAGCTGCTTTGAAATTTGCAAAGTCTGCAAACCATGGTGCGGTGTCTACTGCAAGAGCTTGCTCATTCATAAACCATGGCAGTGTGCTGACTGAGAGAACTTGCTCATCTGGAAACTCATCTCGGATTATCAATTCTGAACTATCTTGAAGTTCTTTCTCTTGAAGTCTAGAGAGATGATCAGCTACCCGGTTCTCTACTCCTTTCTTGTCTCTGATTTCTATCTCAAATTCTTGAAGTAGAAGCATCCACCTAAGTAGTCTCGGCTTAGCATCCTGTTTAGTCAATAAGTATTTCAAGGCAGCATGGTCAGTATACACAATAACTTTAGATCCTAGCAAATAGGTTCTAAATTTATCAAAAGCATATATAACAGCTAGTAATTCTTTCTCAGTAGTAGTGTAATTTAATTGTGCTTCATTTAGAATTTTACTAGCATAATATATAACATGCAAGAGTTTATCTTTTCTTTGACCTAAGACTGCACCTATAGCATAATCACTAGCATCACACATTAATTCAAAAGGTAATTCAAAATTCGGTGAAGTGATAATAGGTGCGGTAGTCAATTTTTCTTTCAAAAGATTAAAAGAAATCAAACAATCATTGTCAAAGTTGAACTCTTCTTCTTTGGCCAATAATTTGCAGAGGGGTTTGGCTATCTTTGAGAAATCTCTGATGAAACGCCGATAGAAACCTGCATGTCCAAGAAAACTACGCACACCACGCACATTAGAGGGAGGGGGAAGTTTTTCTATAAGTGAGATCTTTGCTCTATCAACTTCAATTCCCTTCTCAGAGATTTTATGGCCTAAGACTATTCCATCTCTTACCATAAAGTGGCATTTTTCCCAGTTGAGTACTAAATTACTCTCTTGGCATCTCTGCAAAACACAAGCTAAGTTAGTGAGGCAAACATCAAAAGATGAACCGAAGACAGAAAAATCATCCATAAATATTTCAATAAAATTTTCAATCATATCAGAGAATATGGATAGCATACACCTCTGAAAAGTGGCGGGTGCATTGCATAACCCGAAGGGCATACGTCTGTAGGCAAACACACCGTAGGGACAGGTGAAGGCTGTCTTCTCTTGATCTTCTGGAGCAACCGCTATCTGATTGTATCCGGAATAGCCGTCAAGGAAACAATAAAATGAATGTCCCGCTAGCCTCTCCAACATTTGATCTAAGAATGGTAGAGGGAAATGATCTTTTCTTGTAGCGGCATTAAGTCTCCTGTAGTCGACGCACATTCTCCAGCCGGTAATAGTTCTTGTAGGAATCAACTCATTGTTTTCATTACGTACCACTGTGATCCCACCTTTCTTTGGAACTTTTTGTACCAGACTCACCCATGCACTATCAGAAATTGGATAGATCATACCAGCATCCAAGAGCTTCACGACTTCTTTTCTCACAACTTCCTTCATAGTTGGATTCAATCTTCTCTGTGGTTGTCTGACTGGCTTCACATCATTCTCCATCAGTATTTTATGAGTGCAAAAGGATGGGTTTATTCCTTTCAAGTTTGTAATAGACCATCCTATAGCTGTTCTGTGCTCTCTCAACACTTTCAATAATTTTTCTTCTTCGGCGGTTGACAAATTTGTGTTGATGATCACCGGGTATGTTTTGCTTTCTCCAAGAAATGCATATTTCAAAGTAGGAGGAAGCTCTTTCAATTCAACCTTTGGTGCTCCTTGAATAATATCATCAACTTTCTCTTCTAGCTTTTCAACCTCTTGTCCTTCTTCTGTTGCTTCAGTTGTATTGTGCAGTAGATCTCCTTCTAATGACTCCAATTCCATCAGTGGTTGGAGTATTTCATCAACTGTGTCTATCACTGCATCATTGATCACATCAACCTTGAAGCAATCTCCTCCGTCGGAAGGATGTTTCATAGATTCAAGAACATCAATTGTTACGGTTTCATCATTAACCCGTAACATCAACTTTCCCTGCTCCACATCAACCAAAGCTCTTGCAGTGGCTAAGAAGGGTCTTCCCAAAAGTAATGGGATTTCAGCATCCTCTTTCATGTCTAAGATGACAAAGTCTGCAGGGAATATGAATTTATCAATTTTTACCAAAATATCTTCAATGACTCCATCTGGCCTTCTGGTAGATCTGTCAGCTAACTGTAGTGAAACTTTTGTCGGTTTCAGCTTATGAATACCCAGAGCCTTGCAGATGGATAATGGCATAAGGTTGATACTGGCCCCCAAGTCACATAACGCCTTTCCCACATTGACGTTGCCAATTTCTATGGGAATGCTGAAACTTCCAGGATCTTCAAGTTTTGGAGGCAACTTTTTCTGAATTATAGCACTACACTCTTCCGTCAACGTCACTGTTTCACATTCTTTCAGTTTACGTTTCTTCGATAAAAGATCTTTCATGAACTTTGCGTAATTCGGCATGTTCTCCAAGGCTTCAGCAAATGGAATATTGATTTGTAGCTTTTTGAAGATGTCAAGGAACTTCGAATACTGCTGCTTTTTTATTTCCTCTCTGAACCTCTGCGGATACGGAATTTTTGCATAAGGTGAGAGCTCCAATGGCTTTTCTTGTCTTTCTTGAGCTTTCTTTTTCTCCCATTTGAACTCTTTCTTCTCAGGAACAGCTTTCTCTGCAGCAGGCTCTTTGTCAACTTCCTTCTCTTTTTCTTCTTCAATGGCAGGTCCCTCAGCTTTCTTTTTCTCTACTGAAGGCTTAATCACAGGTTCAATTACAATGCCAGTTCTAGTGGTAATGGCCTTGCAGTGTGCGTTTGGATTAACATCTGTATTACTCGGGAAGGTGCCTTGGGTTCTTTCGTTGAACTGCCTTGACAATTGACCAATCTGAGTTTCAAGATTCCGGATAGAGGCTTCTTGATTCCGGAATGAGGCCCTGGTCTCTTGCATAAAGGTTGAAGTGTCTTCCCTGAACGCATTGGTACTTTGAACGTAGTCTGATGTGGTCTTGGATAGTTGTGCAAAGGCCTTCTCCCACTCTGATTGTTGTGGAGGTTGCTGTGGTACTGGCATAGGAGGATTCAGCTGATGATTCGAACTATAACTGAATCTCGGGTGTTGATTTTGGTTTTTATGTCTCCACCCTTGATTCTGGTTATTGCCGTATTGGTTCCTCCCTGGATTATATGGAACTTTCTGATCATGCCAAATTCCATTAACATCTGCAGTTTCGGGTGCCTTGCAGTCATCAGTAGTATGAGCACCTGCGCAAATATCACAAACAATAGAAGAAGTATTAACATAAGCTACTGAAGTATTAGAAGAAACTTGAAAATCAGAAAATTGCTTTGTGAGAGCATCTAATTGTTGTTGCTGTTTCTTATTAGACTGTAGGATCTGATCATTCTGGGCCAAGATGGCATCATAGCCATCAAGCTTCATAATCCCCGCTCTTCTCTGTGGTGCGGGAGCATTATCATACTCCTGAGAGGCTAGAGACTCTAGTAATTCCAAGGCTTCCTCTGGAGTTTTTGTCTTCAAGGACCCTCCTGATGCAGCATTCACCACTGTTCTTGTGTTCGGCGTCATCCCTTGGAAGAAGGTTCTCGCTTGCTCCCAGGCTTCAATGCCATGTTGGGGACACTTCCTGAGCAGTCCTTTGAATCTTTCCCATGCTTCATATAGAGATTCACTTTCTTTTTGTTCAAAAGAAGTGATATCCGCCTTGAGCTTTGCCATCTTCGAAGATGAGAAAACTTTATCCAAAAATTTGGTTGCCAAGTCGTCCCAGTGAGTGATGCTTCCTTGAGGTAACGATTGCAACCATCCTCTTGCTTCGTCTTTAAGTGAACATGGGAACAACCTGAGCAAAATAGCATCCCGAGACACCCCGTTCATTTTCAAGGTATCACAATATAGCAAGAAGTTTTCCAGATGGATGTAAGGGTCTTCAGTGCTTCCTCCGGCAAATTGGTCTTTCTGAATTAATTGTAAAAGTGCCGGCTTGAGTTCAAAGTTGTTAGCATCCACGTTTGGTCTAACAATACTCGCCGTCTGTGGAACTCGAGCAGGAGTCATGTAATCTCCCAACGTTCTCGGAGGTGGTGGAGGTACATTGTTGTCTCCCATTGCTTCTTCTCTTGGTTCTGTTGAGCTTGAAGCTTCTTTCTCTTGCTGTCTTCTTTCTTTAGCAAGTTTTCTGTTTCTTTTTGCTGTTTTCTCTATCTCCGGGTCGAATTGCAAGGAATCGGTGTCAACGGTACCTCGCATAAACCAGAAAAATAGATTATATAAAATAAGAAAATAAAATTGAATTTAAATAACAGAAAATTAAATAACAGAAAATAAGGTCCAATCTAAAGAATTAATAGCTACTATTAATGTTGAAATAGTAATCCCCGGCAACGGCGCCAAAAACTTGTTGCTACTCACGGCAAGTGCACCGATCGTACAAGTAATATATGATTAAGTAAGAGATCGTTCCCACGAGGATTACGGTTCAAGCACTAATTCACTATCGCAAACTTAGTTGGACAATCGAAAGTGTATTTGGAAACAGGATTTGAATTGCAAAATTAAAATATTAAATATTAAGCTAATTACTTGCAAGAATTAAAGACAAGAAATTAAAGATGTGATTTAACTAATAAAATAAAAACGTAGCTAGGGGTTCGATTTCCTTTAATTTCCTTATTATGATTCGAAGTCCTTCTTTACGTTTACCGTCCTTAATATCAATCTAACCAATTCTTTCGCGTGTTATTAGAGCTCAATCCCTTGTTACCCTAAAACCTTTACAAACTTGAAAGAACCCTAGTTCCCCGGTTATTCCCCAAGAATGCAAGCATTAAGTTCAAGAATCTTAAGGTTACGCAAAATTCTATGTCTATCCCTAGAATCATAGCGTTTACGATGAAGTTATCAGATATGGATCACACACCAACATCCCTATTGTCATGCATTTACCGATGATCATTATATAAGATTCAAGCCTATATAAAGCATTAAAAACAGATAACTTCATTCATGATAAAAAGGAAAATTAACGTACGAATTATTCAAAGCATAATAAATCGACTAAAATCCATCTAACCCTAACTACTTAAAGAACTAGCCGGACATAGCAAAATCAAGAACAAAAGAAAATAGAAAAGCTCCCCCAAACTCCATAGATAATTGGTGGATCTTCGATATCTCCAGTGAACATTTGACGTTGATCCGTCTCCGCCGCTCACGAACATGAATCTGATGTTCCTCCGCGTTCCTTCAGCCTCCAAGCACCCAAAAGTTGTTTTGCAATGTATAAGTTATGTATTTCTGGTCCCCAACGGTGTTTAAATAGGTCAAGAGTTCGTATTGCAGTAGAAAACTTGAATGGGCCTAAGTTGGACTTGTCTGGGCGCTTAAGCTTGTGAATGGGGGCTTAAGCTCCCACTTCTAACAACTTGATAAGATCTTCAATCTTATTGTTTTCACCTTGATTCATCTTCTTTTCTGATTTGATCTCTCTTTATCTAAATCTTCATATTTGAATCATTTGTTATCAAATCCCTTTAAAAATAACAAATATATTAATTAGTTCCAACAATCAGATAATGTTCATGATTATCATTTTAAAACCCTAATTTTTGACTTGTTCAACTAGATAATTCATATTATTTTAGTCCATTAAACAAGATAAACTAAAGGTTTATCAGGGACACCTTTAACCCCAAGTATAAATAACAGCTAATGGCTATCACTCTTATTTTAGGATTTTTTAGTTTCTATGAACCTGTACGTTATCCTGTATTAGTGTATTGGCGAATTATACAAGTGTTCTTCTCTGTGATCACCATCATGCCCATGTTTTATGATCATGCACCTGCTTCAGACCTTCTAATTTTTTTATTTTTTTTCCTGAAGAACTAGAAATTTACATGTTAAATTTGTTCTCTCTCTCTCTCTCTCTCTCTCATTCCATGTTAGTAATATATTGACTTGAAATTTCATAATGAACTTGAAGAGGCTTGTTTTCTTTTTTCTTTTTTCTTTTATTTTTAGTATGATTTGAGTTAACATCTCCAAGAGTTTTTGGGATGGATCTAGTTTGTGTTGGATATTTAAATTAGTAATATTTTTTAACCATCACCAAAAAATAAATTAGTAATATTATTTACACATGTTACAAAAAAGTAAACCAATTGCAATTTTTAAATATTGCAAAAAAGAAAATTATATTTTTAATTGTTACAAAAAAAATAAATTAGCAATACTTTTTGAATGTTATTAGTGACATGTTTTTTAACTGTTACTAGCAACATATTAAACTGTAGGTATAACCTTTTTGGTAACGTGGTCTTAACATAACACACCACATTTTATTAATGGAAAATGTTGCTATATTGCAATTATGCATAATCAAATTTATTCATTCATTTTTAACAAATTCAAGGGTGTAGCGGCAAAGCTAACGTCAGACAATGCTGCTCAACAAAAATATGATGTTTTTGTAAGCTTTAGGGGCAAGGACATCCGCCACGGTTTTCTTAGTCATTTGATTGAGGCTTTTCAACGAAAGCAAATATATGCCTTTGTAGATGATAAACTTGAGAGAGGAGATGAAATATCATCATCACTTCTTAGAGCAATTGAAGGCTCATTCATTTCGTTGGTTATATTCTCAAAAGACTATGCTGCTTCTCATTGGTGTTTGGAAGAACTTGTGAAAATAGTTGAGTGCAGAGAGAAATATGGACAAATTGTAGTGCCTGTTTTCTACAATGTAGAACCCACGGATGTACGGCATCAAAAGGGGAGTTATGAAAACGCACTTGCTCAACATGAAAAAAAGTATAATTCTACTAGGGTGCAAATCTGGACACATGCTTTAAATAAATCTGCTAATTTATCAGGAATTAAGTCATCACATTTTCGGTAAGCTTTTTAATTTCTTTTCCCACAATAAATGTTCAATATGTTGTAACTATTTATTTATTATATAGCTATATGCAAACTGGTTCCATAAATACAAAAAGACAACCTTTATTTTCTTAGTTTTTTATGGAATGCGCGCTTTTTAGTTATTACTTCTGCATTTATTAGTAAAGGCGGCAACATGTTCATGCTAGTACTTAGATTGGACAAGCCATGCTTTGTTGGTTTATTGAATTTAGTGGTTAATTAGACCAAAGTAATTCAATTAAATTGTATTCCAATTTCCAAATGTTACGTATAAATGATACATTTAAAACTTGTAGATACATCCATTAACCTCCTTTTTTTCCCCTTTACCAAACTCTATTAAGTGATTTCACTATGGAGGTAGGAAAAGAGAAGAGGATGTTCCATTGTGGATAACGAAACCTGACATTTTAAAATTTCAAATTATAAGGTTTTGTCAAAATATTATGTCTATTTCTTCACGAAAATATTCACAAATTTTAATAAGGTCTCATGTATTTAATGTTTATAAAGAGAGAGATAAATACAAAAATTTGTAGTTAAGCTAATATTAATGCCATTGAATTTCATACATTCTTCCTCACTCACTCTCTTTGTTGTATAGGAATGATGCTGAGTTGATTGAAGATATTGTCAATCTTGTGTTGATCAGGTTAAGTAAGCACCCGGTTGACTCAAAGGGACTTATTGGAATTGATAAACCAGTTGCACTTGTAGAATTATTGTTACATCAAGAGTCAAAGGATGTCCGTGTTATTGGAATTTGGGGTATGGGCGGGGTTGGTAAGACAACCATTGCAGAAGAAACATTTAACAAACTATGTTATGAATATGAAGGTTGTTGTTTTTTGGCAAATGTAAGAGAAGAATCAAGAAGATATGGAATAATTTCGTTAAAGGAAAAACTCTTTTCTATACTATTATCTGGAGAGGTGAAAATTAGCACACCAAATGGATTGTCCAATAATATTGAGAGAAGGATTGGTCGTATGAAGGTTCTTATTGTTCTTGATGATGTAAATGATTCTGATCAACTAGAAAAGTTGTTCGGAACTCGTGATAGATTTGGACCAGGTAGTAGAATAATTGTAACAACTAGAGATAGGCAAGTGCTTATTGCTAACAAAGTTGATGATATATACCAGGTTGGGGTATTGACTTATAGTGAAGCACTTGTGCTTTTCAATTTGAACGCCTTTAACCAATTTCAGCTTCAGATGGAGTATTATGAGCTATCAAAAAGGGTTGTCAAGTATTCCAAAGGCATTCCGTTAGTTCTTAAAGTTTTGGCTCATCTTATCCGTGGCAAAGATAAGGAAGTGTGGGAAAGTCAGCTGGACAAACTTAAAAATATGCCAAGTAAGAAAGTTCATGATGTAATGAAACTGAGTTATGATGATCTAGATTGCAAAGAGCAAAATATTTTTTTAGATCTTGCATGTTTCTTCAGTGGGTTGAATTTGAAAGTGGATTATATAAAAAATTTATTGAAAAATCATGAAAGTGATAACTCAGTGGCTGTTGGGTTAGAAAGGCTGAAAGATAAAGCTCTTATAACTTTTTCCAAAGATAATATTATATTGGTGCATGATATTCTAAGAGAAATGGCTTGGGAGATTGTTCGCCAAGAATCTAGTGAAGACCCTGGAAGCCGCAGTCGACTGGGTAATCCTAAAGACATTGATGAAGTATTTTTGAATGACAAGGTAAAGCCTAAATTAAATATTATATCTTTAGATAACATTTGATTTTTTATTTTTATTTTGGTGAGAAATATGGCTTTTAATGATTTTTAAAATTTGTATTCTTCATTGATGGAAGGGGACTGAGGCCATTAGAAGCATACAGGTGGACTTGTCAGCATTTAGGCAGTTGAAGTTAAGCTCTCACATATTTGCTAAGATGAGCAAACTACATTTTCTGCATATTGGTGGCAAATATGATTCAGACAACTTGAATTATCTCCCTCAAGGGCTTCAGTCTTTGCCAACTGAACTAAGATATCTTGGCTGGGCGAATTACCATCTGAAATCCTTGCCAGAGAAATTTTCTGCAGAAAAACTTGTCATATTATTCTTGTCATATAGTTCTGTGGAAAAACTTTGGGATGGAGTGCAGGTGAATGTGTTTTGTTGTATAATTATTCTCTTAATTCAAGGAATTATACAAAATTAACATGTGTGATGTCTTTTTTTTTTTATACAGAATCTTATGGATTTGAAAAAAGTTCAACTTTATAAGTGTGATGCCTTGAAGGAGCTGCCAGACTTTTCAAATGCCCCAAATCTTGAAGTACTTAATATCTCTTGGTGTGGTCAGTTGACGAGTTTGCATCCATCTATTTTCTCACTCGACAAGCTTGACAAATTGAATGCAAGATACTGCTATTCCCTTATCAGACTTGCAACTAATACCCATTTAAGCTCCCTCAGATATCTCAACCTTCGATGCTGCCAACAACTCAAGGAATTCTCAGTAACATCAGAGAATATGATAGTACTTGATTTAAGTCTCACGGGCTTGAGTGCATTGCCCTCCTCTTTTGGACGTCAAAGGAAGCTTGAAATCCTACGCCTAGGTGGAAGTTACATTCAGAGCTTGCCTTCATCCATCAAGAATCTTACAAGACTGCAATATTTAGATGTCAATATGTGCAGGAATATTCGGACTCTACCACAGCTTCCCCCATCCCTTGAAACTCTAGATGCTGGACTCTGCACATCACTGATGACTGTATTGTTCCCTTCAACAGCCGCTGAACAATTCAAGGAAAATAGGAAATGGGTTAAGTTCTGGGATTGCTTGAAATTGGATGAACCTTCTCTTACAGCTATTGCGTTGAATGCGCAAATTAACATGATGAAATTAGCATACCAACATATATCTGCGCCAGAACACGATTATCTTGAAAATTATGATGATTACAATGATCGCCATGATCCTTATCAAGCAGCATACTTCTACGCTTATCCAGGAAGCAATGTTCCAGAGTGGTTGGAGTATAAGACGAAAAATGATTATATAGATATTGATCTCTCTTCTGCTCCACGTCCCCCTCTGTTGGCCTTCATTTTCTGCTTCATCCTTGCCAAGCCCTTATATTTACCTAATTTGAAATTTAACATCATTATCAGTGATGGTGAGGGTGAAGGTAAAAAGGATAGTCTCCAAATGTACTTGCGTCTTGACGACTCTTATTGGTTTGGATCACGTGTGTGTGATGTACGACCAACGATGTTCTCGCAACCTAAATAGCATAGTAAAAAATCAGACAAGGTTGGAAGTCAAGATTACAGCAAACGTAGGAACCGAGGGCCCAGGACTTAGAGTAGTATTCTTGAAGGGATTCGGGGTCAGCCCAGTAAACTCCTCGGCATATCACAATTTCATGCAACAAATGGAATTGCGTGACTAATTAAATATCTCAATTTCATTTAACAAATGGAATTGGGTTGAGATTAGTATCATCTTGCGTTTTTCTTACTGTGGTTTAAGACGAAGATTTTGATTTAGAATAAAGTGTATTATTTGAAGTATTTCAAACCCAATTTTTTACAACATTCAAGTTATATGAACCTGCTAAGTGCTTGAACAACGATTACTCAAAAGATACTAGTATGCTTGCATACTCAAAACTACCAAGAAAGACTTGAAAAGGGTAATTGGAAAAATATTATTATAATTGTGTATTAATCTGATACAAAGAGGTCTCTATTTATAAAGACTAGAAAACATAATTCTTGACCTAATGGGCTTGGCCCAATACAACAAATACTAATAATAATAAAAGACCTAATATTTAACACTTTTCCTCAAGCTGAGGAATAGATATTTATCATTCTCAGCTTGCTAGTAAGTTCTTGAAATCTGTCTGAAGGAAGTCTTTTTGTCAATAGATCAGCTAATTGACGTCTAGTGGGAATGTATGGAGTGGTAATCAACCCGCTATCAAGTTTCTCTTTGATGAAATGGCGGTCGACCTCAATATGTTTAGTCCGATCATGTTGAACCGGATTATGAGCTATACAAATAGCGGATTTATTGTCACATAGCAGCTTCATAGGTCCCTCACATTTTATTTTGAGATCATCAAGTATAATTTTCAGCCACAGTAACTCACAAATGCCTTGAGCCATAGCTCGAAATTTAGCTTCTGCACTTGACCTGACAACCACATCTTGTTTCTTACTTCTCCATGTCACTAAGTTACCGCAAAGAAACATGCAATAACCAGTGGTAGATCGACGGTCAGTCACGGATCCAGCATAATCAGCATCAGTGTAGACTTCTAAAGAGAGATTGCCATCACGTCGGAATAACAATCCTTTACCAGGAGTAGCTTTAAGATACTGAAGAATTCTCTCTACTACCTGCATGTGTTTCTCCTTTGGATCATGCATAAACTGACTGACAACACTAACAGCATAAGCTAGGTCTGGTCTAGTATGAGCCAGATATATCAATTTTCCAACTAGTCGTTGATATTGTCCTTTATCAACTGGAGGACTCTCCTCTTCATAGCTTATCTTGTGATTTTGCTCAATAGGAGTATTGGAGGGTTTACACCCGAGCTTTCCTGCTTCTTTGAGAAGATCAAGAACATATTTCCTCTGGCTGATAAAAATTCCTTTGCTTGAATGAGCTACTTCTATCCCAAGGAAATATCTCAGTTTCCCAAGATCTTTGACTTCAAACTCAAAGGCAAGCCGTGTTTGCAGAGTCTGTCTCTCCATAAAATCATCACCTGTGATAATAATATCATCAACATATACAAGGAGCACAGTAAGTTTTCTATTTTGGGAGTGCTTGAAGAAAAGAGTGTGATCTCCTTGACTCTGTCTATATCCTAAGGTTATCATAACCTTAGTAAACCTTCCAAACCAGGCACGAGGTGACTGCTTCAATCCATACAATGCCTTTTTTAATCTACAAACTTTATTTTCTCCCTTCACAGAATCAAAACCAAGCGGGATTTCC